AAAAAAAAAGAAAGGAAAAAAATTTTTAATTAAAAAAAGAGAAAAGAATGGTAATTCCATAACACCTCATTATGTTCATAAAGAACTTGTAAACATGGATCAAGAGGTAGTTTACAAACTTGACTGGAAAAGACTTCTGAAGGTCAACAAACAATATATAGGCTTTCCTTTTGTTGTTGTGCAAACGCAAAAGTACTGCATGGTTTAAAGTCAACAAAGGTGTGCATCGAGGTTGTATCTCCTCATCATACTTATTCAATTTATATGATGAACAAATAATCAGTGAACCTGGAAGAAGCAAGAGACATCAGGATTGGAGAAAGGCTAATTAGCAACCTGCGATATGCAGATGACACAACCTTGCTTGATGAAAGTGAGGAGGATGTGAAGTACTTGCTGATGAAGATCAAAGATAGTAGCCTTCAGTATGATGTATCAATGCCAAGATGACCAAAGTCCCCACAACTGGACCAATAGGTAACATCAGGATAAATGGAGAAAAGATTGAACTAATAATCGAAGATTTTGTTTTGCTTGGATCCACAATCAGTGCTCCTAGACTCTAGAGCTGTGGTTCTCAACCTGTGGGTTGTGACCCCTTTGGGGGTTGAACAACCCTTTCACAGGGGTCACCCAATTCATAGCAGTAGAAAAATTACAGTTATGAAGTAGCAACGAAAATAATTTTGTGGTTGGGGGGGTCACCACAACATGAGGAACTGTATTAAAGGGTCACGGCATTAGGGAGGTTGAGAACCGCTGCTCCGGAGCCAGCAATCAGAAGATCATAAGACACATTGCATTGTGTAAATAGGTTGTGAAGACCTCTTTAGAGTGTTGAAAAGTAGGGAGATAACTTTGAAGACTAAAGTGTACCTGTCCTAAGCCATAGTATTTTGAGTTATTTCGTATGCATGTGAAAGTTGCACACTGAATAAGGAACACTAAGGAAGAACAGATGCATATGAAATGTAGTGCTCTCAAAAAACACTGAAAGTACCACGGACAGCCACAAGGACAAACAAATCTATCTTGGAAGATGCATGGCCTGAGCACTACTTAAAGGCAAGGATGGAGAAACTCCATTTTACATACTTTGGACATGTTGTCAGGAGAGACCAGCCCCTGGAGGACACCATGTTTGGTAAAGTGGTGTGGCAGGGAAAAAGAGGAAGGCTCTAAAGGAGATGGATTGGTACATTGGCTGTAAGCAACAATGGGCTCTAGCAGAGGAACAATTGTCAGGGTGGTGCAGAACAGGGCAGTATTTCCTTCTGTAGTGCATAAGGTTGCTATGTGTAGGAACAGATTCAGTGGTACTGAACAACAACATGAACAAATGGACACTTTAAAAGAAGAAAAAATTTGTTTCTTTAGCCTTACAACAGAAGAAATTCATATTCACTGCAAAAGTATTAGAAGAGACAGTTGAGCAGAATGATATTCTGGCTCAGAGCAGCTGATGCACAGAGAGGACAAGAGGGAGG